GACATCGAATTTTTGAGACCGCGCGGTGGGCGTCTGCTAAGTAGGTAGTGTTCAGTGAAAAGTCCGTAAGGTTAGGGAAAAGCCTATGGGGCCTGAAAAATCGATCCAGAAGAGTAGTAGCTAGGGTGTTCTAACATGCCTGAACTGAGCGGAAGAGCGCACAATAGCGAAGCGCGTTTTTAAGTGGGCGATGTTCAATACAAATCCCAATTACGGTTCAAAAAAAGCCGCGGTGACCAGGAAAAGGAGGGTAGAGGTTAGTGACGGAATGAACGTTAACCATCTACATGTACCGACGTGGGCGGAGTTGGCCACCTAAGTTATAACTCAGTTTCAAGAAGACCAGGGGAACCGAAAAGTTTTAAGAAGTTCTAGAAACCGGTTTTAGTCGGCAGAGATTTGAGAAGGAAACGACATTGACCACTATCGGCGAGTGGGGGGTTCTCTGAAGTGGGCGGGGTTGCCACGATACTCCATAGGTCGGTAACAAACGTTATAGATTTCCAAAGACCAGAAAAAGTGGGTAGAAGTTAGCAGAGGAGAGAGGTCAACTGGTGGGTGGAGCTACTGGTGGGTGGAGTGTGTAATTAGGCGGGCGGAGCTTGCCACGAACTCTTATGAATCGGTTTGAAGATTCTCGGAAATTAGGAGAAAAGTGGATAGAGGTCGGCGATGGAAGGAAATTCAAGTGCTGTAGGGGGTGGGGCGTGCACCGAAGTGGGCGGAAATTGTTAGGGAGCATTATGAAGATACCTAGAGCTCTATTTTGTAACAGTGCAGTTACGTGTAATGCACGCGAATGCTTGCGCAGCCAAACTGGTAAGTCCCATAAGCGGCGAACTTCCGGCTAGGCAGAGGATGAATAGAGTTGTGTTCAACAGCCGGCGCGGGCCGCAAAGGGAACCCATTTAAAGGGTTAGCAGGGTTCACCAGGAGAAGCGTAAGTCGCAGACAACATCCTAGATTAGCGGTATTGAACTCGAGAAACCTCTTTGGTTTTCATCGGTGTGAAGGTAAGGATTTACCCACATCCCTTCTAAGATAAAAACACAAAGAAACTCGTCGTCATTTTTCTTGAGTACGGGCCCGATTGACCTTTCCTTCATCTTTTGCATGTGGGCAGCTTTGTTTCTGCGCAGAGGCTACCAGCTCCCAGCAGCATCTTCTCGGTATGTTGGTCTTTAGGACGAGTGTTCGGCCCCGTTCATAGTTTGCGACTCCGGAGATTGGGATAGTCCGCGACAATGAAAAACATATGTATTGACGAAGAGAGTAGTAGATAGTAGTAGGAGAGTAGGAGATTGCGCTGACAAGATTAGATACGTATCGATTGAAATCGCGGAGAGTAGATTACGATATTACGATAGGATAGTAGTAGAGTAGATTAGGATAGTAGTAGATTAGGATAGTGCGCTGACAAGATTAGATATGTATTGATCTATTCGCTTGAAGTCGCCAATCTACTACTCTCCAGCGATTTCAATCGATACGTATCCAATCTTGTCAGCGCAATCTCCTACTCTACTACTATCCTAATATCCTATCGCCTACTATCCTCATCTCCCAGTCCGCGAACAATGAACGCGACCTTAGCCTTTGTCGACCCACTGGCGCTTCCGCTCAAAATTGTGCAGGTATTTGATAACCTTAACTGAGCAAATCTCTTATAAAGCGTTCGCAAAGAAGCGCATGAGGTTTTGCAATGAGGTTGAAATTGCACAGCATGTGCGTGTGCTGGCTAACATTTTTTCGGTGCTGTGTTCTGTCGCGCCACGCACGAATTTCCTTTGATCGGAGATGGAAGTGGCTTGAAGTTGCTGCTGATTACAGATCCTTCCACGAGGTGGAGTCCAAGGTGGAATGTAGCATTCTTTCGTATCATCATCTCCATCAGAAGACGATATGCGTTTAAACCACAATTTGCAAAAACCGGTGTGGTGAAAAAGTGACTGGTACACGTAACACTCGGACCACAGATGATTTGAAGAATTCTGCGACAAATTGATTTGCCACTGGAAATGAAGCTATACATACTTGATATTGCATAGATAAAAAAAAACCAAGGAAACCAGCTTAACACGAACGAAAATCACATATCCAATTGAGTTCCGCGGGGCGAGTTTCTCATCGATGCTGAATTCGTAAACATTAACGCTCTGCCACCTGTCTGCTAAAATAACTGGAATGCGCGGCTAGAGTGCAGCGGCGGGTGGTGCTAGCCAGTTGATGAACGTGTAGAGCCGAGAGCGTGCTGGTACGAGCCCCACAAAAGCGATAGGGGCGTACCTGCAGCGAAACTTGCGTCGTCCGCACCCTTGAGCGCTTACCTCGCCTTCTCAGTAGGAATGTTTCCTGGTCTTCACCAGATTATCATGGAGCCTTCCTTTGATAATGCGAACGTAGTAAAGTTCCAATAATCAACATTATTCCGAGCACGAATGTTGAATACAGGGTAAGGTAAATATTGATCAACGGAGGGTTGAAAGTAGATAATAGATCGAGTGTTGAATGTAGATGTCCCCATACCAAGAGCTACTGATTCTAGGCGAGAATCAGTCGCTCTTTGGGATGCCTGCGCATTTATGAGAGTCCAGCTGCAGCGAAATTGGCTCATTCTGGCCGATTTTACCAGAGATACCGTATTCATTCAGGAAGCTGAGTTAGACATACAATTCTAGACTCCTTTTCTCTTCTCTGCTTTGCGAGCTTTCGTCTAGATGGCTCGATCAGTCGAATGCAAGAACTGGGTTTTAAGAACTTACACACCTCCATCCATCTACAAGAGCAGGTGATGAAGCGTCCAGTATGAAGACGACTGACGTTGTAGCCTTGGATGGGCTCACCGTGCTCTGAAAGAATAAGTATACGTGAGCTGCAAGTATTGGTGGTTTGAAACAATAAACCTAGTTGTCATGTGGAACAATCTATTCTGCGGGTAGTATAGAGTTGCTTGCGAGTAGTATAACAAAAGTGCCGTTGTCGCGACTCAAACCGTGATTGAGCTTACCATTAAATTACATCTGTTAGCAACTAGACGATATATCTC